AAGATACATGATATTTTACTCTTAAGAGAGAAAATATTACACTTGCGAGCGGGTAACACCTATGGTAAAGTTACGACATATTTTACACTTAAGATTTTCTTAAGATATTTTGTGAAAAGGAGATAAGCAGCCATTTTCACAAAAAAACTTACGACAATTTTTTATTGTAAGTGAAATCTTACAATATATCTCCTTTCACAAAATATCTTAAGAAAATCTTAAGTGTAAAATCTGCTTGCATAATATAATTTCGTTCCACTCATTCAATACATTCAGTATTGAGCCAAAAATCACCCAATAGTCACTATATGCAACATCCCTTTTCCATTTTCCCCTCATCTTCTTACATGGGATATAACTATTTTGAAGATCTTTCCGGACAGCAACGTTAACCAGTGTGGTCCACACCATGACTGTAGCAGTAGGCTCGATTTTTCCTTATTTGTAATGGTAGACCTTAATATGACAGGATGTATTATTACGCACTTTAGGTAAATTTGGTTTATATTCAGAACAGAAATATTCACATCGAGAGAATTACAAATAAACCATGCATAATAGATATTTACATTTTATTGTTTATCAAAAACAGCTATAATATATAACCAATTATGGTAAAGCAACACACAAAACAACATGTAAAATCCAAGCATAAAAACATTCCCTTTAATTAATAAATTCAGAAATTCCTATGATAAAACAGTAGATAAATCTACACTGACTAGAAAACAAAATACTTAAAGCTGCACGCCTCCAGAAGAGCCAAACTATTTCAAGAAAATCAACATTGAGAAAAATGTACTCAAATTTTAGGAAAGGTTAAAACATTCAAGATCCAAGTTATATTTTACATGTTATGTACGGTTTAACGCTGATTTTGCAGTATTTTATTACTATATATTTCTACTGCGTTACTAACGCTATTTTTGCAAAAGTGGACGACTTTTAGGTAATTTTCTTGCATTGTAAGTGCCGATTGCAATATGTAAGCTACTTTATTTGTTCACTCACAATATTTTACTTTTAAATACATTTCCAAACCTTCATGAACATTAACATAATCTGGAGGCATGCTGGTTTAAAGACATATGAAATAAAATAATACTGAAAAGTAATGCTGACAAAAATATGATGTGTCTTATGATTTTAACCTGAAAAAAGCAAACAAAAATTAACAATACATGTTACAGTAATATATAACCATAATGGTGCATAAAGTCCGTTATTTTCAAATTAACTGACCCACATTCAAAAGTACTCAGACAGAAAAATATTTTATTCAATTTATCCACATACAAATATATTCTAGACGTCATGGTTTTATCCAATTTATACATATACAAATCTATTCTAGACACCATGGTTTTATTCAATTAATACATATACAAATCTATTCTAGACGATGTGGTTTTATTCAATTGAAACATATACAAATCTATTCTAGACGCCATGGTTTTATTCATTTCAAACAAATACAAATCTATTCTAGACGCTTAGTGTTTTTATATAATTTGAACATATACAAATCTATTCTAGATGCTTAGTGGTTTTCTTCAATTTAAACATATACTTACCTATTCTAGACGCTAAGTGGTTTTATTCAATTTATACATATATACAAATCTATTCTAGACGCTATGGTTTTCATTTAATTTAAACATATACAAATCTTTACTAGACGCTATGGTTTTATTCATTTTAAACATATACAAATCTTTTCTAGATGCTATAGTTTTATTCATTTTATACATATACACATCTATTCTAAACCCTATGGTTTTATTCATTTTATAAGTTTTTACATATTCAAATCTTTTCTAGATGCTATGGTTTTATTCATTTTATACATATACAAATCTATTCTAGACCCTATGGTTATTCATTTTATACGTTTATACATATTAAAATCTATTCTAGATGCTTGGTTTTATTCAATTAATACATATACAAATCTATTCTAGATGCATAGTGGTTGTATTCAATTCAAATATATACAAATCTATTCTAGACGCAATGGTTTTATTCAATTTATACATATACTTATCTATTCTACTTTTGTTTTATTCAGTTTAAACATATACATGTAAATTATCTGTTCTAGATACCACAATTTTATTCTACCAATCTTATTAACTTAAGTATTAAGAAAAACCTAAGTGATTCTTTTGCGCTTAAATTAATCAACAGAATATGTTGGCTGCAAAAATGACCTTTTATTTCAAGACCAAATGGACAAAATAATCAGTAAAACGTGTTTATATTTCCTTGGGAAAGTATACGGACCAGATGTACTATTTGAAGGCTCTGCTGTAATTTTTCTGAATGATCTGGTGTAATTTTTGGAGGATCTGGTGTATTTTTTTTAATGATTCGGTGTAATTTTGAAGAATCCTGTTATAATTTTTAATGATCCGGTGAAATTTATAAAGGTTCCGGGATATTTTTTTTAATTATCCTGTGTAATTTTTGAAGGATCCAGTGTATTTTTTAAATTATCCGGTATATTTTTTAACGGATCTCAGGTGTAGTATTTTAAATTATGCAATGTACAGGTTGATATATCCTCAAGATACATGGCTGATATATCCTCAAGATACGTAATAGTCTAAGTCCTTATATAAAGGATGTTGTAAATAACTACCACAAATAATGATACCATTTACAACAAATCCTCAAACAAGATGTATAGGATCTAACAGAGTTGTTGTCTATTAAAAATTTTTATATGAAACAAAATCAGAGACACTTAATTTAAATAAAGATTCATAAATAATCGCATTATGAATATATAACAAAATTTAAATAAAGAACAAAAAAAACAACAAAAAACAACAACAACAAACAAACAAAAAGAAAAAAATAAACCCACAAAAAACAAACAATAAAAACATGTCATAATGACTAAATGTTGAAATTTGCATGACTTTATCTAAGCAAATAGTCAAAATAACTTAAAATCATAACAAAAAGCATAAAATAATTAGAAAAATAAATGTGTTGATATATGTTTGTGCATATAAAAAGAAAATATATTTCATTGATGATCGCCTGCGGATAAATTTGCCATAGTGGTGTAAGGATCCGCACAGTCTGGTCAGGATCCATGCTGTTCGCTTACAGACCATATAAAAAGTAGAGAAACAGATGGTGGACAGCATGGATCCTGATCAGACTGCGCGGATGACTGCAGGCTGATCTGGATCCATGCTGGGCGCAACGCAATATGTTAGTTGTGTCATGGCGCAGTTCATTTTAAGAGAATAACCACCAATGAAAAAAGCCTAGATGATGATGATGACTAGAACACACTTGTTTCTTTTTTCTGATCATATTCACGTTCATAACATAGACTAACTTTAATAATAATACACAAAAAAGAATCCGTAGAGGATATTTGTTTATTTCAGTGTAAGATCGGAATATATTTCACCAAGTGAGCACCAAAAGGTATACATGTATTTTACAAGTGGCGTAGCCATGAATGAAATAAGAACTTTTGGTGTTCAAGAGGTGAAATATATTTTGATCTTACACTAAACTAAACACACTTTCATTCAATTTTATTTTAAGAAACGTTTAAAAAGAAATTTTACACTAATAATAAAAAAATTGCGCCAAATAATAATACAATGTGACGTCATTTACGATGTCATGTAATTAAGTTGGTTTCCAGTACTATGCAGGCTGGTAATTCCCTAAAACAACATAGAAGGGTGAAATTTCAAACATTGAGAAATATTCAATTGATAATTTCATATTTTCAAACAGTGAAATATCGGGTTTTTTTCACTTATATATTTCTATAAACCACTGAAAAGCATGTTATTAAAATAACATAACATTAAGAAATCTCTATCAACTTTATCAAGAGATGATAAAATTATTTTTTCTTGCAGTTTAACTTTACATTGTAAATAAATGACTGCAAAAGAAAAACAACAACAAAACAACAACAAATAAACACACTCTGAAGTCCTTATTTCTCATTGAAAAATTTGGATTTAAAATTTCAAATTTGTAAAGAAAAAAAATACCAAATTTACATTAAATGTTTTTAGAAATTTATTTTCTATATAGTCTAAGTCAAATTTTTCAAAAAGAAATGAATGCATATATTTTAATGATTACATATGATGTGGACAAATATTTGCAGTACATATTTTACATATTTTTCGATATTTGAAAATTGATTTTGAAGCAGAATTTTATAAAATTTTACTTAAGTATGGTAACAACCTTAATTACAACATACAGGATCTTTATGCATTACCTATTTCAAAAAACATAAGAAAAACATTTACGACTTAAAACAATCATAAGAGATAGTGTATAATATTCAATTTTATCGTATACTACCTTCATTTACAGGAGAAAAAGGTATACAAAATGTGAAATATAAAGTCCTTTTAATGTGCTCAATTTATTACATAAATATCACTAAAAAGCAAACATCTCTCTTACTTACTAGAGGTCATGACCTTTTAAACTCCGAAGTTTCTTTTTTTTTTTAAAAAAATATGCATTACATGTTAACATGTATAAAAATATTCCAATAGGAGTTTTTTCCTTTTCGTCACTTAACTCATTGCTGGACTATCTTATAGCAAGGGGGATAATTTGGAAAAAAAGCCATGACTTCCTTGGGAGGGGCCAATTATGACCTTGAAACTATAATTTGAATAATGTTAAAAGAGGATCACTAGAAAATGCTGTATGGTAAATATCTGAGCTCTAGCCCTTGTAATTAAAAAAAACAACATTACTTTTACTATTACAGCACACTAACCCTGGGACAAGGCCAATGTTGACCACAGGGATATAATTTGAACACTCTTGGTAGAGGTCTACTTGACAATGCCTTGTGCAAAACAACCATGCTCTAGGTCTTTTAGTTCTAAAGTAGGAGATATTTTTTTCTAAATCTTTCTATTACCCCTTTCTGTTGCCATGACAACCAGATGCTGTATAGTTTCAAATTCATTGAAATCCCTTTATCAAAGGAACAATCCTAGCAGGTTTGTGGTTTTTCTGGTGAAGATTTTTAAGTAAACTTGAAAAACTTCAAAGGGCCTGTATTTAATGAAACAGCTAAACAAAATGTTACTCTAAAAATAGTTGGTCATTGTTTACTAATCAAGCCCTTTGCTCGTTCATGAAACTTTGATTTTTCGTGTGTATGAAGGCCATCTATAGTTTTAAAGTTTACATTACAAATATAGCAGGCATAGTTTTTTACGTCATTGTGCTTATACCTCTTGTGTCTAGACAAGTTTGCGCTGCAATTGAACGCCATGTCACAATATTCACAAACGTAGGGTTTTTCTCCGGTATGTATAACCATGTGCCGCCTTACATCTGCTGGGGCATGAAATACTTTTCCACAAAGGTCACACTTGTGTCGACCTTCAAAATGGAATTTCATATGCTTGCTTATATATTGTTTCTTGAATGATTTCTCACACAATTTACATTTTGTATTTTCTTGCTCAGCGTGCAATTTGATATGACTTTTAAGCTGGAGATGACTCATAAAATCTTTGCCACACAAATCACAATTAAATGTCCTCTCTCTTGCTATGTGAGTTTGTAGATGTGTCTTCAAACCTTCATAAGAAAATGATTTGCCACACACCTTGCACACATTATGTCTAGTTGCCAAATGAAATTTTATATGTTTCCTTACGTCCTGAAAAGTTTTAAACATTTTACCGCACATGTCACACATGTAGTCTCTTTCTGATCTGTGGCGCAGTAAGTGGCCCTTTAACGATTCAATGCCACAAAAGGTTTTATTACACAACTTACATACTTTTCTTTCCGCTTCTTGGTGAACTGAGTTTTTATGCCTTTGTAAATGAGTCCTACTAAGGAAGGTATGTTCACATATATCACATTTATGTTTTCTTGGTTCAAAATGCCCCTTATAATGTCTTGTTAGATGACAATTATTCTTAAACCGTTTGTCACAAAGAGTACAAAAGTATTTCTCTTCATGATCATGTAGCTTCATGTGCTGTATGAATTTCACCTTCTCAGTAAAGGATTCTCTACAGTAGGTACAATCAAGTGGGATAACTCCTGTATGCTTGGTCATATGAGCTTTCAATCTAGATGGTACAGTGTAAGAGTACGGGCAGAATTCACATTTATATGGACGCGAGCTTTTATCGAAATGAGTTGGAGAATGCTTTTTAAGCTGACTTTTATATTGGAAACCCTTGCCACAAACTCTGCAACAGAATCTGGATTTAAATTTCTCTCTCTTTTCTGGACCATTTTTACTCTCACTTTTTATACAGCCATCTATGTTTACAAACCTTTCTGCGTCATATTTGTTCACACTATTTGCTATGTCATCCATTTTCAAAATGACTTCTAGGTCATCATCTTCTAAATTCTTTTTAATATTATCTTGTTTCACTTTTTTTTCAATACCATCAATTTCCGCAATTTTTTCTTCCTTTTCTTCGCTTTCTGTTTTCACACACTTTTCTTGTTCAACTGTTGTTACACCCATTTCTATGCTATTGATTTTTACAGTCTCTTCAGGGAAATCTATTTTCAAACCCTCTTGCAGACTTTCATTTTTCACACTCTTTTCTATGTCATCATTTTTCACACTGATTTCTTGGTCATTTTTCACACTCTTTTCTATGTCAACATTTTGCACAAACATTTCAATGTCATCATGTTTCACATTCTTTTCTATGTCAATATTTTTCACACTCTTTTCAATGTCAACATTTTTCAAAACGTTTTCTATGTCATCATTTTTCACACTCTTTTCTATGTCATCATTTTTCACACTCTTTTCTATGTCATCATTTTTCACACTTTTTTCTATGTCAACATTTTGCACAAACATTTCAATGTCATCATGTGTCACACTCTTTTCTATGTCATCATTTTTCACACTCTTTTCTCTGTCAACATTTTGCACAAACATTTCAATGTCATCATGTTTCACATTCTTTTCTATGTCAATATTTTTCACACTCTTTTCAATGTCAACATTTTTCAAAACGTTTTCTATGTCATCATTTTTCACACTCTTTTCTATGTCATCATTTTTCACACTCTTTTCTATGTCATCATTTTTCACATTCTCTTCTATGTCATCATTTTTTACATTCTTTTCTATGTCATCATTTTTAACACTCTTTTCTTTGACATTATTTTTCTCACTAACATTTTGGCAATCTATTTCTTGAATGTTTCTGCTCAAAGGATTTGCGTCTCCTAAATCAGAAGGATTATTAGTTTTGTTAGATTCCATCTCAAATATATTTTTTCTGTTTCATAGAGTAAAGGTCTATACTCATGCCTTCTTAATCAGACTGTAGAGACTTATTTCCTGTTTCCTTCATTTTACCACATTTATTTCAAAGGAAGATGATATTCATTAGACTAGTTAACAAGCATCTGTATCATTTTAAATACATGTATGTTTGATTGTTTTTTAGAGACTACCTTCATCAGCTTACTTGTTATCCAAACAATGAGTGTTTTTCCTGGAAATTGTTCATCAAAATGTTCCTTCTTGATTGCCATCTTGCATCAGTTTTATAAAGCATTATTTTCCTCTCTTTTTTTTCCTAGAAATTGTTCATGGAAGAGGTAATGTTTATTGGTAAATTCTTTACATGGATGTTTAATAATGAAGAGTTATCTTTCTTCAACAATAATCTGAAAAAGAAGAGACAAAATATAAATGTATATATAAGCATGAATGTCATATGATTAACACAGTTATGTTCTATAAAAATAAGTAACTAAAACAACACGGACACATAGAATTTTTACTAGAGCTGTCATTGATTCATAGCAAAGCATACTGGGCATGACATTTAACTTTTGACCCCATTCGTCGGGCGCCATATGACCCATTTTGATATATCTTAAAACAACCTTTCTTTCCAATATTTTTTGATATTTGAGCTGAAATATTAGCTCTAGAATGTAATGAACATTTTTCCATATTTGAGTTGTGTGACCTAGTTAAGATTTGTAAGGCTATTACAACATTTTAAATACTAAATTCTGTATGCATTTCTGATAAAACAAGAGCCATGTCAACATGGTCATCCCCCGCCAAATGTGTTTGCTCATTGGAAGAATGTATATGTAGAAGAGCAGAATTATTCAATTTTAAGAGGTCTTTTGGTAATGAAAACTGATGGCTGAAGTGATTACAGATTTGAAACCTATGTGAATACTGAAAGCTGAAAATAACAAAGGGCAATAACTGAAAAATAATGCAGAGAATATTATCATTCTTGTGTGCTGCACCCCTCCTCAATAAAATCTATCCACATATGAAGTTTCAAGTTGGTACCTTAAATACTTTTTGAGATAAGCTCCAAACAAAATAGTATAAAAAAACAAAGGGCAATAACTCAAAAATTTTATAGGGAAGAGTTATCAGTCTTGCGAACAGCATTTCTCCTCAATTAGATCTATCCACCTATAACATTTCATGTTGACATCCCAAACACGTTTGAGTTATGTTCCACTCAGGTGAAAAATTAAGTATGAAAAATAACAAAGGGCAATAACTAAAAAATTATGAAAGGTAGAGTTATCATTCTTATGCAATGCATTCCTTCTGAGTGAGATCTATGCACCTATGAAGTTGTATGTTGATACCTGAAAGGCTTTTTGAGTAATGCTTTGGACAAAAACTAATTTTTAAAAATAACAAAGGGGAATAACTCAAAAATTATGCAGGGTAGAGTTATTATTCTTGTGCACTACACTTTTCCTCAATGAGATCCATCCACCTACGAAGTTTCAAGTTGATATCTCAAATACTTTTTGAGAGAAGCTCCCGACAAAATAGTAAGAAAAAGAACAAAGGGCAAAAACTAAAAAAATATAAAGGGAAGAGTTATCATTCTTGCGCACAACATTCCTCAATAAGATCTATCCACCTATGACATTTCATGTTGACATCTCAAACACTTTTGAGTTATGCTCCACTCAGGTGAAAAATTAAGTATGAAAAATAACAAAGGGCAATAACTCAAAAATTATGAAAGGTAGAGTTATCATTCTTGAACACTGCATACCTCCTGAGTGAGATCTATGTACCTATTAAGTTTAAAGGCTTTTTGAGTTATGCTCTGGACAAAAATCAATTTAGAAAAATAAGAAAGGGCAATAACTCAAAAATTATGCAGGGTAGAGTGATCATTCTTGTGAACTTCACTCCTTTTCAATGAGATCCATCCACCTATGAAGTTTCAAGTTGATACCTCAAATACTTTTGAGATAAGCTCCCGACAAAATAGTATAAAAAAACAACAAAGTACAATACCTCAAAAATTATATAGGGAAGAGTTTTAATTCTTGCGCACAGCATTCCTCCTTCATAAAATATATCCATCTATGACATTTCATGCTGACATCTCAAACACTTTTGAGGTATGCTCCACACAGGTGAAAAATTAAGTATGAAAAATAACAAAGGGCAATAACTCAAAAAATATGAAAGGTAGCGTTATCATTCTTTTGCAATGCATACCTCCTGAGTGAGATCTATGCACCTATGAAGTTGTATGTTAATATCTGAAAGGCCTTTTTAGTTATGCTTTGGACAACAATTAATTTTGAAAAATAACAAAGGGCAATAACTAAAAAGTTATGCAGGGTAGAGTTATCATTTTTGTGCACTGCACTCCTCCACAATGAGATCCATCCACCTATGAAGTTTCAAGTTGATACCTGAAATACTTTTTGAGATAAGCTCCCGTGAAAATAGTATTGAAAAGAACAAAGGGCAATAACTCAAAAATTGTAAAGGGAAGAGTTTTCATTCTTGCGCACAACATTCCTCGTCAATGAGATCTTTCCACCTAAGACATTTCATGTTGACATCTCAAACACTTTTGAGTTATGCTCAACTCAGGTGAAAAATTAAGTATGAAAAATACCAAAGGGCAATAACTCAAAAATAATGACAGGTAGAGTTATCATTCTTGTGCACTGCACACCTCCTGAGTGAGTCCTATGAAGTTTCATGTTGATATATCAAACGCTTTTTGAGTTATTCTCTGGACATAATTAATTTTGAAAAATAACAATGTCGGACAGAAGGACGGACGGAGGAAGACTATTTCTATATCCCGTTTATGCCGTAAAAAACATAATTATTTTCTAATTGAAATTCAAATAGGACAAGATTTTCCTATTTAAAGCTCTGGTGGCCATTAAGTGCAGCAAAGTGAAAAATGCCTGCGATATGCACAATAAGGGATGGTACTGCTCAACCCTGTGAAGTTTCATAAAAATCAAGCCAGCAGTTCTATCTGTGAAAGCCAGAGAAGATTTTCCTATTTATAGCTCTGGTGGCCATCTTGTGCAATGAAGCGAAATGTACCTGCAATATGCACAACTAGGGATGGTACTGATGACTCCTGTAATGTTGGATTGAAATCCCACCAGGATTTTGACCTGTAACAGCAAGACACGACTTTTGCTATTTATTAGCTCTGGCGGCCAATTTGTGCAGCAAAGTGGAACGTGCCGGTGACATGCATAACTAGGGATGGTATCGATCACTCCTGTACAGTTTGGTTGAAATCCCGCCATTAGTTTGACCTGTGAAAGCCGGACGAGATATTTCTATTTTAAGCTCTGGTGGCCATTTTGTGCAGCGAAACGGAACTCGCATGTGGCGTGCACAACTAGGGATGGTACTGATCACTCCTGTATAGTTTGGTAGATAAGAACATAAAAATGGTTAGGAAATTGTCCTACAAAGGACATTTATATAAAGGACACAACATATTTGTATGAACAGAACATATATTTTACTTAAAGTATGAAAAAGAATGATATAGAAGAAATTAAGAGTATATATCAATATTTATCATCCGGTATCAATGTATCATCAATATGCTTTGCTATGAATCAATGACAGCTCTATGGCATATACATGTATGTGTATAATTATGTAAGGGACACAAGTCTCACATGAATGTCACACTTCAGAACTAACTTATTTTTTTAAAATTCACTTGTCCCCTGCAGGCAAGTTAGAGCCAAAATTTTGCTTATTCAGCAAAAATGTACAACTACGACAGCTCAGCTAATGGATTTCAGAACCATTGAATGAATTTCTACATTATGCACAGATATAATTTATCTTATAGGCTTTATATATGTCTTTGTGTAAGCTTTTAATATCGCATTTGAACATAATATGGCGGGCAGTTTATTTATCCAGTGTTTCTAGATTTTGTACCAGTACTGACCAGCTTTCCACAATTATATGTTGACTATTTCGCATATATCAGACATAGGGTCTTAGCGGTGTATGATTTTACTCAAACTATTTTTATCCAAAAAAGTGTTTAACATTAATTACACAAGTGTAAGAAACCCATTAAACAAGAGCTGTCACAGGAGACAGCCAAGCTCGACTAATAAAATACTGGACACAGTAAGGAGGACAAAACTATGAAAGGAAAATCAATTATGTATAATTATGTATTATGTTATAGTAAAAAAATAACATTTGTTAAAATAAATTCCAAGATCAAGGGAAATAATTCTAGAAATAGTCACGCTAGAGTTATGAACCTTGTCACAACATGTATGTAATGATAAGCAGTATATATTTGAAGTTTGAAGTAGATACCTTAAAAAGTAACAAAGTTATAATATTTCTTAAAGAAAATCCTAAGTTCAAAGAGAAATCAGTCTTTAAAAAATTTACTTCAAGAGTTAATGAACATTGTCACATAAAATATAATTGATTATAAGGAATAAGTATTTGAAGTTTGAGGTAGATAGTAAAAAAATAACATTTTTCTAGTAAAAAAATCTAAGTTTGATGAGGAGATAATTCTTGCAATATTGGTGCTAGAGTTATGAACCTTGTCACATAAGATGTGGGATTGATGATAAGGTACATATATTTGAAGTATGAAGTTGATCCCTTTAGAAATAAATAAGTTACAGTAAAAAATAATATTTTTTAAGAAAAAATTCTAAGTTCAAGGGGAGATAAATCTGAAAATATTGGTGCTAAAGTTATGAAAGCCTTGTCACATAAGATGGGGATGATGATAAGGGTACATATATTTGAAGGATTGAGGTTGATCCCTTAAAGAAATAAAGAAGTAAAAGTAAAAAATAGTATTTTTTAAGGAAAATTCTATGTTCAAGGGGATATAAATCTGAAAAATATTGGTGCTAGAGTTTATGACCCCTTGTCACATAAGATGGGGATGATGATAAGGTACATTATATTTGAAGTATGAGGTTGATCCCTTAAGAAATAAAGAAGTAACAGTAAAAAAATAGTATTTTTTAAGAAAAATTCTAAGTTCAAGGGGAGATAAATCTGAAAAATAGTTGTGCTAGGAGTTATGAACCTTGTCACATAAGATGTGGTTGATGATAAGGAACATATATTTGAAGTTTGAAGTTGATACCTTAAGAAATGGACAAAGTTATAGTTGAAAAATATTTTACTGCACCAAAACCCTTTAATTCTAAAATCTGGACGCGGGACGCGGGACGCCGACGCCGACGCCGGGGCGAGTAGGGACAGCTCTCCATATACTTCGTATAGTCGAGCTAAAAACTATGAACGGCTTCAAATTATGTGCTTCCCTTTTGATGCATGCAAATCTGGTACTTTATAACCCAAAATCATCACAATTAGTGATTTATATGTA